ACTTAACGGCAACTTCATCCATCTTGGTAATAACAAATAAAAATGGCGAAAAAATTACAAGCTTAGAAAATGTTTACCTAGTGAAAGTCAACTTTCAGAACTCGTAATTCATTTTTGGGGAACGATAAAAATGTACACAGAATATTCAAAGATTCAAACATTGCTCGGACTTTCGGTGTGAATTCTTCAGAGTTCCCACACGCCAAGCGCAATCATGCCAGGCCGTTTTGTCCTTGGTGGTTTGTATCCAGTTCTTTCCTGCTATTTCCTCCACGTACGTAAGCCACCTCATCGGAGGTTGCCCGAGTGATCGCTTTCTTTCTCTCGGGTACCATTCTACAATGCGCGAGGTCCATCGATTGTCATCGAGACGTGCCACAAAATTCCGACCCAGGCACCTCATCGTGGTGTGGGAGTGACAACGGCCAGAGCGCCAAAGCACTGTGGGACACGTGCCCTGGCAGCTCCTAGCAAAATAACTCTGGCCGGCTAAGCTCGGGCGGTACCACTGACAACCTGCACCAGCGAGTGGAATATACTGTCGTCAAAGCAAACAAAGATCTGTCGGATGAACAGAAACAACAACAAATATGGAAGTGAAAAGATTCACAAAATACAGAGAAGATTCCAACAAAGGGGAGAGGAAATATCTAAGACGAAATAATACGATGAAGATCAGATAGTAGAAACCAATATAATGAGAATGAGTTGTCAAACATAACAATAATTATTGAAGCTTGATTCCTATTTGACGTTGGCTGCATCATAAGCATTAATTTGTAGCAAATTGGTGAATTTGCATATCAGATTTCCATCTGCTTCATCCTCCTCAAAGGATAGCCGGTCATCGAAACCGACTGAGAGATTTTGAAAGCTGAACCGAAACATGACATTGTTTTCATAGAGAGTTAGTCATTGACATGGCGGGAAAACAACTGAACGAAAAACTCTCTGCTAAGTATATAGATTGAGACTCGCGTCAACATCACTGAACCAGAATTTCCTACTACGGTTTTATTTTTGTATTTGGAATGCACAGTTTTGGCCTGTCGCCACCTTTTAAGATGCTGGCATTTTCTGTCTGTATCGCATCTATTGATGAGGTTCAGCGAGTTAAAAATCTCGGACAGAAATAATGAAGTACGGACTGGCTTGCGTTTTTTCAACAGAAATAATAAATGAAGAGATTTGCTACTTATGGCCACTGTCTGGTTAATGCGGGATCATTCATTTGCCAGTTTGATGCTTTCACAATGTGTAGATTTATACATTAGATGCCACAAGATCCCAGTACTCTAGAAGAGAGTTTCGAATTTGAATGAAATTTAAGCACTGATCTTAATACTGGCATAATTCACATCTAAAGATAAGACCCATCATGGTACAATTAATCCGCGACCTCTATTGTTCTGTATGCATAAAAAAGAATTATTTTGAACAACCATCCTTGCAGCGTATGAATACTAAGATAGAAAGTGACTTATTCTAGAAAGCGGGAGCCATCTGTGAGCGTCGCAACAATGCCGTAAATACGTAAACAGTTCAGTTGGAAGAAAACATTTGAGGACAAAAGTGCTCTCCATGGTTCAACCTCTGCCCTTTTATTACTTATGAGGTAGCGACCAAGATGAAAGGTCGCACTGCAGGGCGAAGCATGACTGACCACATGTTCCTGAGCCGCTACGAATGGCAGTGACAGAACCATTCGTTTGCGGCGAGATACAACGGGATGAACTAATTTCCAAACGGTAATGCGAATCTTACGCTGCCCTGTGGTTCGAACGGGCTTTTCTGACCACTTTCCTGTCACTCATAGTTATTTCGATTCGCAGTTATTTCACACATGACCTTTATCAAGTGTGCTTGTAGCAAAACCTGTAGCTAAGAACCCGTCAATCACTCTTATTGAAGCGGCACAATTAATAAAAGCCTTTATTAAACCGAGGTGCACATTTTACATTCAGACAAGTACTTCTGCAGCGCTGACATATGAACTGAACACAGTTGCGAAATAAAGTTAATATAAACATTTGTTTGAGATCATAATTTTCAGACTGTTCATTCGTTCCACAAACTGACTGCGGAAAACCGCGCTGAACGTCAGATAGTTGTAAAAGTTGCATGCTCGGGTGACGAACTCAACGAAATTTGTGACAGCCGCTGAATAGCGGTTCAAAACATGTTTGATGAGTTTAAATCGAGTCAGGTCTTTGTTCATACAGTCGTTCATGGACACTTCGTCACCGAGCGATAAATTCAGGAACCAAAGATAGGTGTAAGCGACTTCGCAGATGATTGTCAGGGCGGCTGTGCAAAATATGAGCATGTTGATGCTATCGAGTTCCTTTGTCTTTTCGGGTTGGTCAACGTTTGAGATGCTGAAGGTGGTAAGAGAACTGGTTGGAGGGCAAACAACGCCTCCTTCAATGAAGCTTTTCTGGACTGCAATTCTGGACGGCAAGATCTTCTTTCGCTTTTTGACTACGGTAACCGTCTGCAGAGAGAAGTAAAGCATGGCGACCAGTATGGTCAGCGGCAACACGATGTCGCAAATCAGACCAAGCACACGATGCCACAGCGTTCCGCGAAAATCGGAAAAGGTGACGTAGTACAACGGTACTTTCGTAGACGTCCCGCCAGTAGCCTCTATGCGGTACTTCAGCGGACTGTACAGTCGGAACGTAGACATGCAGGCGTTGAGCAGTAACGCTGTTATGCAGAACCATTTTTTCCACTGTCTGTTTCTGCTGTGCCAGTAGAACGGTTTCATCAACGAGACGTACCGTTCGAACATCATGCACAACGAAGTCAAGTCGCTGAACAACGACGCTACGTTGACGATGCACATCGTCACCAGTACCGTGTATGAAATTGCCGCATGCGGTGTGCCGGAGAATGTCGTAAAGCGGGACAAGGAAACGAATGGCATGGCGAAGACGTTGAACACCAAGTCGGATGTGGACAGCGCAACCATGAAGCTCTTGAAAGTCAAGCGCTGACTGTAGCACTGGTGTGTAATCGTGATCAGGATACACACTGAACCAAGAATGCCGAACACAGCCAGTACGATTTCCAAAATCGGTAAAGCCACGATATCAAGTTTCTGTGAAATCACATACGCGTAATACAAATTGCTCACTTCACTCTTGTTGAAGATGTAACCGGAGGGCAACGTGACGGTGCTAGTATTTTCTTGTGAGTTCACAATCAAATTCCATAGCCTTTTCGGATCGCAGTGGTTTGCAATCCTTTCTTCCGATGCGTTCATTGTACCCCGCTCAGTCTACAAGGCATTTGTGTCAATACAAGCCTTACGAAAGCTGTACATAAAAATGTCACAGATTGAATTAGAACAATCAGTGGAAGTTTAGATATCAAAGACGATTTTCAGCGAGAAAGTGTAATTAGTTATTTACCATAATGATGATGGAGTGATAACGTTATTAAACATTGCATTGTTCGATACCCCTCTCCGGATTTCCGTAGAGAAGAACATGCGACAAGCCCATCGTCCCACCCAAACTCTTCGATACCTGTTTGAAAATGGTGTTTTCGAAGATGAGCTGGAAAGATGAGATTGACATCGATGTTGAACAGCTCAGCAACCTTAGGTTCGCAGATAAAGCGCGGTTGTTTGCGGAAAACGTCAGTTAGCTACGAGGGGTGCTGCAAAAACACGAGAAAAACAGTGCAGTAGTCAGGCTGCGAATCAGTCGATTGAAGACAAAAATACCTCATTGGATATCCTGACAGATAAAAGGTCAGATAATATTAAACGGAGGAAAAATCGAAAAAGTCGATAAACACATTTACCTGGGCCATGAGATCAACATGCGACGCGACCAGGCTCACGAGATTCAACGAAAAAGGAGAATCGGTTTGCGCGCACCTCATTCTATCAGGAACGTCCTCTCGGCAACAACAGGAAAGAAATGCCGCCAGATTCTTCTAGTCTACCACCCTGCCGGCAGTCTTGGATATGGATATTAAACATGGCCATTCACGAAGGCCGAAGAGCGCCGACGCTATGTCACCGACAAAGCGACGGAAAGAGCAACGTTGGTAGTTTCACGTCGCCATCACATCACCAACACGGTGGCCAGACAGTGGACAGGAGTGATGGAGGTTGTTGTCGAAAGCTACGGTCGA